TACTTGAGAAGCAAGTGCGTTCGACCCTATAGGGGAAGTGAGTGCAGCAAGGATCTAGAAGTGTGTGCTTAAGCGAAGCGCGAGAAAGCGCAGGAGCGCGCAAGGTACAAAGGCGCGGGAACGCGCGCGCGTATTAGCGCGAAGCGCAGGAAAGTGCGCGCGCGTATGCGGAAATGAGAAACTAAGCTTAAGTAGTGATATAAAGCAAGATAAGAGATATAAGAGTGCAAAATGTAAAGGAATAGCTTTCTACTATATTCTGCTAAGTAGTAAGTGGGTAGTAACTAGTAAGTGAAAAGTAGGAAAAGTAGGTTCCGTGTAGTATGTACTGCTGGCGCTTATATAGCGCGCCTAAGCGCACTCATGCGGAGCCGAAGCGCTACCGAGTAGGTATGTAAAAATATATATGAGTGAGAAACTATGATAAAAATAAAGGTGGAACTATGCTAATAAAGGAAATGGAAATATACATACTAGGGAGCTTGGTGGACAGTGGATGCATGCATCTGGATGGCTGGCGCTATAGGGCGCGCAAGCGCGGGAACGCGCGCGCGCGTATACATCGTGAAGCGCGGGAATGGTGCGCGCATGGCACGCGTTGCGTGGGAAAGCTGCGCCTCATATAGAGATAGCTGCGGGTAGCGCACAGAGTAATGCTATGAGTTCGTGCTGTATACTCCTTGGTGAAAACTACCATATCACGCCATGAGAGGCATGATTCTCTACACCGGAAATCGAAACTCGGGACATGACATTTCATATGCAACATCTTTCAAAAATGTTTAAATCAACCTTCCATATATCCATACACATTTTACCAACCCTCAAACCCCAAAATTGTGGACTGCTGGGTTTTGGGTTTTGGGGTTCAGGGGTCCCGGAACTCGGGACTCGATATGTGGGACTGGACAAAGATATTTGTCAGGGTTCGGGGGTTAGTAAAATGTTTATGGATATATGTAGGCAGATTCAAACATGTCTGAAAAATGTGTTTCATTTCAAATGTCAAGTCCTGAGTTCTGGGTTTTGGGACTTGGCACCTGGCACCCGGCACTCGGGGTTTGGCACTGTGAAAATTTGACATTCGGGTGTTAGGGTGTTCGGGTTTCAGGTGATATCTACCTCAATCTACAGTTTCTAGTTCTGGATATTGGAACTCAATGATTGAATCATTCAATTGTGGCATAGGTAACATGCCTTGAAAAATATTTATGTACATCTATCACTGAGCAATTATGTAGCCATTTCAACCTTCTCACCAGGACAATCAACCTTCACCTCAACATCCATCTCCTCATCAGAAGAATCATATTCTGGCAGGAGGTTGCCTGGTTCATCCGGGACCACAATTTCACCAGAAAGCCCAAGACCTGAAAATATGTATGCAACATTTCCATTTTTCACTTGTTGCACTGATCACCAAGTTTCAAGTGCCGAAACCCAAAACTCAAAACCGGGTGTGCAACATGTTCATTGTTCATTTACACACATATTACAGTGACCTATTTCCGTATAATACGAGGGAACGGACGTGCATAATATCCCGTATGATACGGGCCAGCGGACCATGGGCCCATGATCAAAATATCCTCGACTATGACGGATGGGCCGGGAGGCAAATTATTCCCGATGGAGGCGGGTGGGCCCATGCAGGGGATATATAGAGTAGATGAGTGGGCTGATGTACATGAATATTAGGTAGACGGGTGGGCCGAGGTAGTTGGATATTATGCAGATGGGTGTATTAAGGTAGATGTGTATGAGATAGATGGGTAGGTACTTGTTATCACATTCACGGGTGGGCCCAGACACATATTAAATTAGACAGGTGGGCCGAGGGTATTATACAATATTGTATTATACGGGTGGGCCCAGACGCATATTAATTAGACCGGTGGGCCGAGGGTGTTGTATGGGATGTTGTATTAGACGGGTGGGCCGAGGGTGGTATAAAATATAGATGGGTGGGCCCATGTGTATCATAATTGTAAACACGATGGAGCTGAGGTAGTTGTACATCAACCAAATCAGAGGAGGTAATAAAATCAAAGTTACCAAGTTCCTGGAGCAGCAGGTGATCTCCTGACATGGCCTTTGATGGTGCACAGGTTGTCTTGCAAAATTTGGAATCCGGGGTGCGAAGCTTGTGTTACCCTATGAGAAGCCAAGTTCCGATTACCAACCTTTGGGTCAACCGTACTCAGAGGAGGTAATAAATCAAAGTTCCTGAGTTCCCGGAGCAGCAGGTGATCTCCTGACATGGCCTTTGATGGTGCACAGGTTGTCTTGCAGAATTTGGAATCCAGGGTGTGAAGCTTGTGTTGCCCTATGAGATGCCAAGTTCCGACCACCCAAATTTGGGTCAACCATACCGACTTCCAAGTTCCGGGACCCGGGAGTCGACAAATGAATATCTGATAACCAGCACACTTCCAATCAGGTAGTATTTCATTGAGCAATGAATCATCCAAGGGGTCTCTTATCAGACTCGGTAGTCAATATAGGCAAATGATAATGAAAACATGAAAGTTGTTATTATGCTATTTTTCAAACCCGAGACCCTGAAACCCATTGTTCAACATGTCCATTTTTCACTCACTGCACAAATCACCAAGTTTCGAGTGCCAAAGCGTGAAACTTGAAACTCAGTGTGCAACATGTCCATTTTTCATGTACATTACACAATTCATTGAGTTCCGAGTGCCGAGGGCCGAAACCCGAACCCCGAGACCCGAAAATATGTATGCAACATTTCAATTTTTCACTTGTTGCACAAATCACTGAGTTTCAAGTGCGGAAACCCGAAACTCAAAACCGGGTGTGCAACATGTCCATTGTTCAATTATATTACACAAGTCATTGAGTTCCGAGCTCCGAGGGCCGAAACCCGAACCCCGAGACCCGAAAATATGTACACAACATGTCCATTTTTCACTCATTGCACAAATCACTGAGTTTTAAAGTGCTGAAACCCGAAACTCGAAACCCGGCATGCAACATGTTGATTTTTCATTTACGTCACACAAATCATTGAGTTCCGAGGTCCGAGGTCTGAGACCCGAACCCCGAACCCCGAACCCCGAACCCCGAAAATATGTGCACAACATGTCCATTTTTTACTTGTTGCACAAATCACTGAGTTTCAAGTGCCGAAACCCAAAACTCGAAACCCAGCATGCAACATGTTGATTTTTCATTTACATCACACAAATCATTGAGTTCCGAGGTCCGAGGTCCGAGACCCGAACCCCGAACCCCGAAAATATGTGCACAACATGTCCATTTTTTACTTGTTGCACAAATCACTGAGTTTCAAGTGCCGAAACCCAAAACTCGAAACCTGGCATGCAACATGTCCATTGTTCAATTATATTACACAAGTCATTGAGTTCCGAGCTCCGAGGGCCGAAACCCGAACCCCAAACCCCGAAAATATGTACACAACATGTCCATTTTTCACTCATTGCACAAATCACCGAGTTTTGAGTGCTGAAACCCAAAACTTGAAACCTGGCATGCAACATGTTGATTTTTCATTTACATTACACAAATCATCGAGTTCCAAGTGCCAAGGGCCGAGACCCGAAGCCCAAGACCCGAAAATATGTATGCAACATTTCAATTTTTCACTTGTTGCACAAATCACCGAGTTTCAAGTGCTGAAACCTGAAACTCAAAACCGGGTGTGCAACATGTCCACTGTTCAATTATATTACACAAGTCATTAAGTTCCGAGTTCCGAGGGCCGAAACCCGAACCCCGAGACCCGAAAATATGTGCACAACATGTCCATTTTTCACTCACTGTACAAATCACTGAGTTTTGAGTGCTGAAACCCGAAACTCAAAACCCGGCATGCAACATGTTGATTTTTCATTTACATTACTCAAATCATCGAGTTCCGAGTGCCGAGGGCCGAGACCCAAAGCCCGAAACCCAACATCATGTACACAACATGTCCATTTTTCACTCATTTCACAAATCACCAAGTGTCGAGTGTCAAAACCTGAAACCCGGTACTTCAAATGGACACAAATTGTATTTGTATGTATTATCCATTGGTGTAGGGCTCAAATAACCTGGGAATTGTATTTGTCAGTACTCGGTACTTGGGACTTGGGACTTGGGACTTGGGACTTGGGACTTGGGACTTGGGACTTGGGACTTGGTACTTGGTACTTGGTACTTGGCACTCAGTGATCGGCGGTCAGTGGTTGGTACTTGGGACTCGGTACTCGAGGCAAGTCTCTAGTAATGATCGAGCTTTGGCCAGACTGACCAAATATCAAAAGAGAATTCCAGGCCAACCTCCTTTACCACGTCGTTCATTGGTCGGCTATGACATTGAGTCATCACGGTCAACTCCTGCCTCCATAGCCACATCGGACACCATCGTTTTATCCTCAGAGACATCGACCTCCCATAAGCGCAATGCCTGCTTCGTTGAAGATGATGTAATGTTCCAACTTGAAACGATGCATGAGGCAAATTACTGATCAATTGGCGTTTGACAATGACGAAGAATGAAAGACGAAGACCTCAATGGCTCAGGCTCCCCGTCTACCTCGTCATTCAGCATTGAAAATACACATTGTATTTCGCATGCTTTTATGATCATCATTTGGAATGTCTGTTTACTGATACTGCTCTTCATGTAATAGGTCGTCAATTGGACTAATATCCATGTTTTTCCTTTGCTAATTATATCCTGGTTTGATGCATATGTAATATTATATGCTTACTTCCTGTACATGCAGATAAACAAATGATAAGACTTGTCTAATCTACCGATATCAGAGCTGTGCAAAATACTTGGCTGTGCTTATGTCTTTTGTGAGCGCTGTCCGCTCTGTGAGAGTCTGTAGGCAACTGTGCGAAACTGTCAAAATAGGCATTATCTGGGGAGAAATTTGGCTTTTACTGATGCTTGTATCGTAGCGGCGCTGGAAAGCGCCAGTCCCCGACTCCAAGAAATTACGATAGATTGACAGCAAACAGTATTAATATACAACATTCGAGTATGTACAGCAATCAAAACACTCAAAAATGACTTCTTTCGAACCAGGCATTGACCACTCCCGCTCTCGTTCTGTGCGAATACTATTCACGTCTGCTAGTGAATTCTGTTTTCGTTCTAGATGGGCTGATTTGATCTTGACAGAGTGCGACACAATTTCTTGTGACAGACGTTCAGTAACAAGCACACCAAACTCGTGAGTGAGAATCTGACGGAAAATGTCCTTATCCGAGAGGGAGTCAAATCTCAAGAACGGAAAATACATCACCCAAAACACTCACTCCAGCATGAAATATATAGGGATAGTGCACGTTGCTGAACATGATTAGCGAGTGCATTCACAAGTTTTTGATGAGAGAGTCTGTTGTAGAGCGAGCGACAGCGTGGTGCAAATCGATGAATACATGTCTTGACGAACCGTCGGTGCGGTTCAGCTTCTCTAAATGGCGAGCGAGATCATCGATAGACGCAGAGATCCACGGCAAAGACATGGCTTCAGAGACTTGCGTAGCCGCTGAATCGATAGCAAGAGATGCACTGATGACAGGAGGAGTGTGTAGAGCAGTGGCCACCTCAGGACCGTACAACTTCTGAAACTCAGCAGCAAGCAAAGTGCCCCGTGTTCTTCTGCAAGCAGGTGGGACAGGTGCTGTCAAGAGACTCTTGACAAGGATATCATCCGACATGCTTGCAAATTCTGTGCGTTTAGTTAGACAAACCTACCCCATCAAAAACTACAGCGACCGATCGATAAAGGGGACCACATCTAAGACACAAGCTGCTACAGTGGGAGGCGAGTGATAGTTGCAACCAACAACAAAATTTCTCGGCTGTTGCATATACAGTTTCATTATATTGCGGGTGGTACAAAGCATCATAGAATAGAGGATATGTTTGTATATCGTGAAGGATATTGTGAGGTGGGCAATCTGTAGCATCGAGAACTCGAGGACGCATGCTGTGGTGCTTCGAGAGAAACACAGACATTCTAAATTCACGAAGGTGGTCATTTCAATAAAAGAAGGACGTCGAGAGAAAATGAAAAGACGTACACTATTTCTTCACTGTAGTCGCTGTAGAGACAAGTCAGTCAGACGATACAAACCATGGATCCGAATCGCTATCACGCATTCATTCTGATGACTCATCATTCAACTGTACAGTTTTAGAACCCGAAAGGTTCCCACACTTCAGCGTATAGGTGCCTGAACGTTTGGATCCGACAAAACCCTCTTCCCACTTAAGTGGGAGTCGGGGATTCTCTCGCTGTCTCACAGTGGGACCAAGTAGGAGCACTAAAAACTCGATACAATATTGAAAATATATACTAGAGGTGTATACATTATGGTATAGTCTACTGTATATACTAGCGCGACGAAGCTAAATATCATAACGAAACAAATGAATATGCATGCTCCCCGCACAGTACCGTTGTTGATCATTTGGATCATTTGATGTGCTACACATCATCTTTGCCAGTCAACGTATCTTCACCGGTCAACACATCTTCACTAGCATGGAAAGCCATGGACATCATGCTTGTTCCCCCCTCGGCCCTGTCTTCGTATTTGGCTCGAACGCTGAGGATCAGACGCGGTCCCAGCACAAACATCTGCAACATCTGGGAGGTTACCCAAATACTAAAGTAAATAAGACGTTCCACAGTGTTCTGCAGAGAAACAATGATAGTGGTCAACTGCAGACGTCAATCGCAGGTCAGCGTACCGTGATATTTGGAGATATTGAGCCAAGTGTGAAGCAAGTCATAATAAGAAAGCTGGCAAATGCGGAACTTCAGTGAAACAAGATAAGTTCAAATCACCTATAGAACTCACACTAGAAAGTAAGGCGTGTGACTCTCCATTAATATCGTGAAACAGTGAACAATGTTCAATCTTGTCGGCGATTGTCGCAGTTGATGGAAGTGCTTTATAACAATCCAGAGTGCAAGAAACAAAATGAGGATCTCCCATATACAGGTAGATATCACACTCTCGTAAATCAGATGCATCATTTCCGCGTCAATTGTGGTAATGCAGGTATGGTAGCCGGAAAGGACGGCCTCCTCTGGTAAGCGTCTGTGAGCCTCTTGTGTTTTCATTAATGATTGAAACTTACGCGATGAAACACCCAGGTTTGCGATCACCATCATGACTCCGGAGGCGATCGTGGAAGCCAACAAGGCTACAACAAGAAAGATGAACATTTTTTTCGATCCCTCATACATGGCATTTATCCGAGCAATCATGATGACTGGAATGGTATTTCAGTCAAGTCAATATCAGTAAGGAAACCGCGAATGCGCTCACCGCCCAACATGGCATTGACAATGACAGGGTTCCATACCTGTATGTACCAGAGGAAAGTGCCTGAAACCCCAGTTACTTGGTGTTGGGATACATACTTTAAATGAACTCACAGCTGTCGAAGTCGTTGTCTTGGAGACACAAACCGACCGAGAACATCACTCACTCCTATATAAGAGGCTAGTTAGAATTCAAATAGAAATGGGAATGACGGGCACCGGTGCAGGATACGCACTACATCTGTAATCCAGGTATTAGGGAGTAACACTGCGTGCCGCCGGTCAGAGTCTAGAAGCGGACGCATGTGAAAACACGTACGCATAATGTTAACGCTGGTTGCGAGAGGAGACTTATTGGCACATTGCAGTGTGATGTAGATAACCTTGCAAACGTACGCGAAATATAGTATTCCAATGTACCGCACCTAGCATATGTTGAAGTCAGCACAAGATGCCAACTGCGCTCATAGCAATGACGTACACAGATATAGAGAACAGTCATGGAGGTCCAACGTCGCCTCTGCCCCGAATAAACTGCACGATTCTATTTGGTTCTGATACGGACTTTGCTCACCAAGATCAATTCGAACTGTGAGAGCATTATTAATTCGGTGAGATGCACAAGTCACGACGAAACTTACCTCTTGTTCGAATGTCAATGCTTGAATAGTGTATTCATATCAATGATCCCTTGGAACGTATTATCTCGCTCACCCCAGTCGTATAGCACCACAACAGAGCATACAGCTGCAAAGCGATAGTCAAATATATCGAGGTGTCACCATTGGCACTCTACGAACCTAGATTATAGCTGTAAAGACGACAAAACTTGATGATCGGCCACCAAACGGGATCATCTGAGACTATGGCCATATCGTGATAGGGCTTGTAGGATACTTGCAGAATCGAATAAGCTGTCAACCACTGCTTTTATAGTGATTAGTTGCGATGCCCTACCATCACCTGGATCATCATTCGGCCGCCAAGCTGTGGCGCAAACCAGGTACCACTGGACCCTGGTGGTGCTGTCAATCATGATTGACAGCCAGCGAGATATAGAAATGTGTAATCATATTTAATGGATGCTTCAGAAAAGCCTGGTTATTGTGGACAGTCTGGGCGCACTGAGTTTGTCACAGACCCTGAGGTCTGAGAGTTGGGGTCAGCAGTTTGGTTTGAATGGCTGACACATCACGCATACCTCCGTGATGTCAGCCATGAACCCTCCAAGTTGACCACGTTTTGAGGGTCCAAGGGCGCCTGGTGGCAGGCACAAGAGACACAGGAAGCAGGAGGAACGTCGACGCGTCAGCCATGGCCGACGTTGTAGAACCCCGATGGAGTTGAGCCAAACGTTTGACACGCCCCCAGACTCGGACCTACCCAGTGTCTGTGCCACTGGACCCTGTTCATTTCCCGGACGCTTTCGGATGCTCACGCAGTCGAGAAATTTGAATTTGTCCCTGAAATCGCATTCCTTCGCGATATTAGTGACCGACGCAGACTCGGTGTTCAGGGACGAGCGGCTATCAGAGTGAGACCCTAATGGCAGTGATCACGAAAATGTCGTGGGCGATGCAGAACACGTTCTCGTGTTGTCAAGTAAAATACAAAAGTGGGACTCAAAGTGTAGGTCTCCAGACTCTTGGTAAAACGTTCGAGCACGGCCGACAACAATGGGGTCGGCCAGCACTGCAAATCGCAGATCCAAGCGCTCGATAACGTGTCTGCCGCTCTGCAAGGCCACAAGCATCAGCAAACTAGGGGGTTACTTGTATATAATAAGTTACAGCTAGCATATGGGCGAATACATACTAATATACACTCCAAAAGTAATTTTAAATACCAATTCCACGCATAATAACCTAGGTGAAAAAGCGAGAGAAAGAGTAATCAAACCAACAACTAAGGATGGTTATCAACAAAGTCTATGGCAGCATCCAGTCCTCTCACAAGTTTTTCCGCACGCATTGACATACCCCTCACGATACCAACCTTTTTCTTGCCAGTACTAGAGGCTTCTGCATCTTGTGCACGACGGAGGTTCTCTGTCGGGACTGAACGGAGGTTGGATCCTGAATACGCATGTCGGATATGGGTGCCTCTTGATGAAGACGATGATGGTGCTCCTGTACGCGAGTTGTTAGCAGTCGACGGATGAATGGCATCTCCCCTTTCCCTATCTTTCATTAGCCTGGATAAGCTGCCTGGAGTGAGCGTCGAAGACCGTCTCCGCGCAGACATGAACGGGACGGTGCCCACGCTCACGGTGCTAATCGTCGTATTCTTGATCCTCCCAGGCACACGTGATTCGAGAGAAGAGGAAAAAGGATCCCCGCATTGGATGACGTTGTTAATCGTGGGGTATGTAGGGGGTGAGTGTGGGGGTGAGTGGCCCCTTGGGGAGCCCTGAGAGGATGCATCTGAAAGCGGTGGGGTGGATAGGAGTGAGGGGCTTGGTGGTTGGTGCTCGGAGTCACTAGGAGAATGGATGATTTTCTGATGCCGAATGTGATGATGCTTCACGCTTCCTTGCCTCTCTAGATCCCTCATCCAACCTTCCCACTCCATCTCGCTCTCTCCCTCAATTTCGCCTGATTCTGAGTCCGAGTATAGCGCAAAAGAACTAACAGAAGATTTATGACTCATTCCTTGCGAGAAAGCGAATCGCGGATTGCGGATATCGTGCAACGAGGTTTCTCGGCGGGTATTTTCAGACCACAGGACCAGTGCGAGGGGTTTTCCGATGTCCCCCATGCCAGCCTTGCGCGCGGTCTCGACGGTTTTCGTGCGCCATTCTGGGTATGGAAGAGAGTCGTATGGGGAGGAGTAAACAAAAGGCGTGAGAGCGGGAGAGGAGACATTGTTCCAGTAGTTTGCGACCGTGATGATTGATGAGGTAGGGAGGAACGATGATGATATTGGATGAGAGATGTAACGGTGAAGGATACGGAGGATGTTCGAGAAAGCTATGTGAGTGAACAGTCAGAGAGACGGACGATGCGAAGTAAATCGAATACCATGATCATCGAGCAAATCGAGGACGAGCCATTCGCCTTCCCCGCGGCAGATGTCTTCCAGATTATAGTCAAAGCACGGGGAATTCTTATGGTGATCTCCTTTGTATGTATGTTCTTTTGAGGTTGAAGTGGGTTTGTCTGGTAAAGGAGTAATATCTATTGCTTCAATTTGAACGTCTGTTTTCCAGTCTTCTGCAATCGGAGACGAGGGGAGAGACGTGGATGGTGAAGAGGCTGAGAAGGAGGATGCCATGAACTCCTTGCCTCGAAACTTGAGGCAAACGACGCGTTGCTCTGCAATGATGGAACAGGCTCTTGCAAGAGACTCTGCGCCACGAAGCGCGCATAATGAGGTTAATGGGAAATGATGCAAAGGGGTCCCGCCCTGGTAGCTTGAAGGTAAGTACGCAATGCGGTAACTGTATATTCAAAGGACGCACGGATGAATCCTTGCAGAGAGACAGCGTGCCATGATTTATGACTATCCATCGATCTTTCCACTCGACTTTAGCCTTTCTCCTCTTCTTTTCGGGTTGCAAGGGAATATGAACAGTAGATATCTTGTCTCTGCTTCTTGCCCTCAACCTATTGCCGGTGGCTGCAGGGGATTCGAATCGGCCTGATTTTACACTCCATACTGCACGGAGGGCCCTGGCTTTAGACTCGAAGTAGGGTTGAACATACTCCGACATGATTTCTCTTGGTAGTTGGACAACCTTTCCTGAGCGGTGCATCTCTAAAAGTTCGCAAGGCCGAAGTTTATACCACGATAGGGCATAGTCATCTTCTAGAATTGTTCCAGTTGAAAAGGATACAAGGGTATACTGGTCTGTGACTGGACTACTGCCAGGTTGAACGGTGTGTGAAGCAGATGCGGTCGATGTCTTTCCTGGTCGACGAGAATATATAGTCTGACGCCTGAGTTCTGGGTGGCGATAGGAAAGGTCGTCAAAGTCATCCGAATCCTCATCGTATTCGTCATCCTCGTTATAACCGTCTTCCATACTATCGATTGAGGTACGTGTCCTGATGCTGGAAGCAAAGGTGATAGGAGAAACTGGGCGCTGAGCGGGGAAATGGGACGTTTGGATGATATTGCATTTTGAAAGTATCCAATGCTTGACCTGCTTGACTTTCTGGTTATCGTCTAAGTGTGTTATGAACCACTGGTCATAAGGCACTAGATTATGTAGTAGTGCGGGTGCGTGAGATTTACAAGAGCATATCAGCAGTTTCTTACAAACTTGAACACTTTGGCTGCGTACCGAATCTGCATGCTACTGCCAGTAACGGACGGCAGTTTTCTGACTGCATCGCCTACTGCAGTGGCCAGTCGATAAATGTTGTCAGGCAGCTAAATGTTGGTCACATAGGCAAACGGAGACAGCCGTGATGTCACTCTTGGCAGTACTACAAACCTCATGATGTCCAGTCTTTTTTTTGCAGCAACACTGCTAGGTTTCACAGGGAGTACCGGCTGCAGATTGCAGTATCAGTATGAATCACGCGCTTGAAGATATCATCCGACCCTGGCCGTGTGGACCATCGGTTGAAATTCGTACGTCCAATCAGTGAACATGGTCCGTGCAGGAGAATATAACTGGACGTAGTACAAGTACGATCGGAACTTACCGAAACACCTCCTACCACTGGTAGAAGAGGAAATTATTATCTGTATCTGTCTATTCGCAATGGCCCTCCGGGCATCCCTGTATAGACTGGTGACCAGCCCGTCTAATGAGGCAAGCCGTCGATAGACGGACTGGTAAATCTGGGTTTGAATTCGGATAGTGCGCGCTTTGGAGTCGTCACATGACCTGTAGCCAATCCGAAAACTAAAATTTTGTCGAGGATATTTGAGATATTGAAATTAATGTTTGAATATTGACGCGAGGCAAACACGGTCGTGTCGTTAATGTATCTATTTACTCTACAATGGACATGAACTCAATCATCCAAGCTGTGCGGGAAGCATCACTGGAAGGACTAGATTCATTTGCTCGCTTGCTGATACAAGAACGGCTCCCTACCAGCTACATCGAAACCCTCAGTAGCAAAGATAAGACGGACGCGTTGCGCGCTTGCCTGCTTGTGTACATCCTCACAGCTACAACCATTGTTCCCCGACAATTTCAGCTAGAAGCTGTTCTCGCAACGTTGAACGGCCGCGACAGCATAATTACAGCTGGTACAGGCTGTGGAAAGACCTTGTGTCTCATCATTCCTAATCTACTTCGTCCGGACACTATCAGTGTGACAATTTCACCTTTGAAACATCTCCAGATCACACAAGTGAGATTTGAATTGATATTGACTCATTATGTGCGAGAACAAGCCTGTGGCAGGTCAATGAATGCATGAAATACGGTATATCTACAATATCAATTAATGAAGACACCCCGAATGACACATCACTTTGGCAGGTGAAGTTGACTCACATACTGTTACTAGTTTCGGTCGACGAATCCAGAGTCTACGGACCGGTTGATATCAGTGTCGATGAGCATCGAGAGGTCCCCGTCATCCCTGGGCCATCCAAGTCCTTGAGACATCTTTCCCTTGAGAACAGAGCTTAGTAGGACCAGTACTATCTCAGAAGAAGCTGAAGTATGAATTCAAATCATAAATAGGGCTGTCCGAGTGCAATGTGACGCTGCCCTGCAGCGGCCAGCGGAAGAGACCTGGTCGATCGCTGCCAGAGTCGATGGGAAACGTTAGAACACGATGTATGATCGAACAACTTAACAGACTTATCTAAGCAACGTCTAAGCCCCGAAAAGGGTTGTCGGTCATGTGACGACTCCAAAGCGCGCACTATCTGAATTCAAACCCAGATTTACCAGTCTGTCTATCGATGGCTTGCCTCATTAGACAGGCTGGTCACCAGTCTAATCCCTGTACCCTTCACCTTCTCCGCTTCTTTTCTTCTAAGTGATGCGCCCAGTTTAAGAGTCAAAACCTACTACCTCACTAATTTCCCCATACGAGCTCTACTCTTTTGACCTGCCCACACAATTTTCTGTCATGTTGAGCAGCATTCGCAGCTCTCACATCCAAATGTTCGGAATCACTGGCTGTAATGCGAGCACGACGCTTAGAACTTGCACGATGTGCACGAGAGGATGCTGCAAAGGGTTCAGGAAAGTCAGCATTAGATTGATTAGCCCTAGGATACTTTAAGAGCTTGAAGATGCACTGCGTTAGCTATACACTCTGACACACATGGACGCGAAGCAGATCACGAAACATGATCTTTACGATCCGAGGAAGACACATAAATAGAATGAGCGCGTGCAATTTCAGTGTATTGTTCTCTAGTAAGCCATAGCGAAATTCTCGACAATCATTCGCAGATTCGGCGCTACTACAGGTAGTAGTGAACCGACAGGATATTGGTTACACAATGACGTGCGATCTCGAGAAACACCCAAATACCCAAAATATTTGCGCAAAACACATGACGACACCACTGACGTCCCATCGTCTGCGAGCTCGCGATCGGAGATGACGAGTGACACAGGTGGAGGACAAGACACAATTGGATGGCTGACGGAGGATGAACATTAACTAGAAGCCATGAGGACGAAGACAACAAAGAGAGAAGGGGATCCTAAAGCTGACAAACCCATGTGATCCCAAAAAAGGACACAAGCACCAGTCCGAATGAAGCCGTGAAGATCGAGTCGACGGAGATTTTTTGTGGGAGACCTGTACCCTCTTTTAGGGTACAGGAACACTAAGTGTGACCTATCGCAGTCCTATCAAAGCGCTGCGTGCATCACGCTGTTGTCGAGGGAGTGTTAAGCCATTTCCAGAATAGAGACACTGACATAGTTCTATAATCCAGGACGACCATCCAGCTCGGTTACCAATGCTTTTGCTTGCAATCGGTTCACTCAGGCTTCTGCTTGGCCCTCAGCATAACCTTTAGCATAACCTTCATCATAATGTTCCTGCCAAATCTGCGAGAATCAATAACTAGTATTGTGACTAATTTCAAAACCTCGCCCGCTGTTCTCTCACTGCTCTAGCTTCTTCTAATTTCTCTTGACTTCCGCCTGGGATCATTCGATGTGCACCTCCTCGGTGTAATGTACTGTTTTCTGGCTTGTCAAGGTTCTGGAGAAGGCTTTGGTGACTCAAGCTTACATTTTCCAAATTTCACAACCTCTGGAGTAATCGAAGTCCTATGTGATGCCAAAAATTTGGAGCTTGGAAGACCAGTCGAAATAGCGAACCAGATGATAGTGTTAAGGACCAAGGGTTTAAACGTTTACAATGCGAGGATCCTCTGCGCAACAATAATTTCCTTTTTTGCACATACACCCCTAGGGCACGTGAAGATCCTCTCTTGGACAAGTACTGGTCTATGCGCTCCTTGCAGATAGTATTGCAGGTACAGCCACGTATGCAAGAACATAAAAGTATCTTCTTACTAACCCATATCACACAATTTGTTTTTGCTTTGCAATTATCCTCGCTGTCATGGTTGCTGCGTTGATCCATCAGTCTCTGCCACATCGATGCGACGGCGCTGAGTCACTCGGAGAAATGTCCCCAATCGACCAAGTGGCACATGCATGTGCGTGTACTCCATGGTATGTACATGATGATGATTTGATTCACGGGGGTTTTACATTGGACCTCATAAACGTTTGAACCTTGACTCCGGATGCCCACATACTCTATAGATCAACGGCCACAATGCTACCCTTGCTGGACGGCCTGCGTCTCCCCACAACTAGGGTACTACTCACAACCGAGACCTTCGCTTCTCGAGTCTTTCCACCACTCGCATATAGCTTCCCCACAGCTTTTCTTGTGCTGCTGCCCTGAACGCAGCCAGTCCGCATTGCGTTGTAGCCCATCACCGCGATCCTTGCTTTCGCGCGGCAACATCGCTAGACATGTCCATGGGGCAACCGGAACTCTGCCTTTTTGAATATGCAGCTGCAAGTGAGTTCATGTATTGCCACACCATTCAACTTATCTCTCAGCTATCCATGTTTTTAATTGCAGCACGTACTCTTGAATGGACCAGACGAAACCTTTTGTTTGTACGGCTCGTCGATCGTCAACTGACGTGCCAAAGCGGAATTTAGCGCTCAACACAATTGATTTAGTATGCAACCCTCGAGACTGTGGCTGGGACTGGTCGCAGGGACTCTACATCCCGCCTGAGACACATCCCACATCCTCACGATTGGCCTTTGCTACATCCGCCCTAGTCTCTGGTCCAAAGCACTATTTCTTTGTGGTGCGATTCACTCTGCCGTGAAGTCTTTCTCTCCAGAAACATCTGGATCTGTTGATGGTGGTACCATCTTCGACGACTCACTTCCCCCACACCTCCGTTATTTATGATCGAGCATCATCGCGACGCTATACGCATTCACCATCTACTCATTACTCCAAGCCAATTACGAGATCACCGTAGTCATCTGCGTACTGATATTCAGGCAACATCCAGACCAATGCCCCCCCTCATTCGACTCTCCCTGGCGCGCCACCTCTCTCAGAGAATTTGGAGCTGTCGCTGGCATTGGTGGTTGCGTCGTATATTCATTTTCCTCGGGGAAAACCCACTTTCTCTACTCTTTGGGCGTATCGGGGGCGTCATGGGCGCGTTTCTCGCCTCTGGGTTTATTCACCACCTTGCAGTACGACCCATCGACCCATCCTCGGAGATGTGGCGCATGGTGCTGCCATTTGGGATGATGGGAACTGGGATGGTCATTGAGCGTGCTGTTGCGGGGAATCAAACAGGTGGCTGGATAGGATGGATGTGGACAATGTGCTGGTTGGTGTTGTGGGGGAACGTGCCAGTGGATGGGTGGGCAAGAACTGGGTTGCTTGGGGGTTCGAGTACGTTGGATAGTGCGACACCTGTAAGGCAACCGATTGAGTGGCTGGTGAGGACGTTTGATGAGTATCTGCATGCTATTAGCAGAATTAGCAGAAAACCGTGATGACAGAAATCTGTAGACATCCCAGTAGCTGATACTCAAATTGTGAGACATGAGAGCAGCTAGTCCAATGCAAATTTCTGGATGCTAGTGGACGATGTTCATCAAAATACGTAGTCAGTCCCATGCAAATTGTCTAGGTATATGCCCCATTTCAAAAGCGGTCACACACTGACACATGCACTTGGATCTGAACTCGGCATCTCGTCCCTATAACTGGTTGACACCAGGATATGTGAACATAGGCTCCAAAATGTCAGTGCTTCATCTTCAGACCATACAATCCATGATCATGCCGTTGATGTTGATCGATGAGGCCATGAATTGATATGTGTTGTGGCAAGAACCAACCGTTAGCAAATATAGTTGTACCAACTCACGACACGGTGGCTGGATGACCGGCGGCTGATGGCACGCAATAGTTGATCACCAATTGACTCCAACCGTGTGCCGCTTCCACGTCTCAAAAGTCCATCAAGTAGCACGGATGGAAAAAAGGATCATGCAAATACCAAGCGCATTACATTCATGAGAACAACTTGTTGACCGACATATTACCCTCCTGGTTCTTTTTGAGCACCTTTGCAATAGCGAACTCAAAAATTTCCAGCGTAACATGTTGCCGCCGCTCCCGCAATGCGTACATACCTGTGTCCTTGTTCAACAAATGCGAAGATAAAGACCATCAACGTATGCACCTGCTTCTGTACCTATACTGCGCACTTTGGCGCCTGAGCACTGGCCCATTTTCTCGGTGAGTCGATACCGCATTGCACTGATATCTAAGAATAACTATGTTCTAAGAATGCCCGTGAGATACAGAATGCAGAGATCTCACCTTGCAAAAGTGGATTTTAAGAATGCTGACACGAGTTTCTGGGCCAGGGGAAGGGAATTCGATCTTTCGGTCAATGCGTCCCAGACGAAGAAGTGCAGAATCCAATATATCTACGGCGGCACCTTCGAAAAGTCACTGATGCCTTGTGAGGACCCATGAATCTATAGTACACCTGTACGATCCATAGCCTTGATAACCCTTCATGTTCTCTGTGGACTTGAAACCATCCAATTGATTGAGAAGCTCCAGTACTTCAAAATCGCCACCTTCTGCTGCATGCTGCTGCCATTTGGGATGATGGGCGGTGAGGTAGTCATTGGGAATGCTGTTGCAGGGATAATAAGACAGGTGGCTGGATAAGATGAATGTGGACAATGTGCTGGCTGGTATTGTAGGGAAAACTTGAAGTGACGGTGGATGGGTAGGCAAGGGCTGTTATGCTTGGGGGTTCGAACATTTTGGACAGTGTAAGACAACACATTGAGTGGCTGGTAATGACATTTGACGTCTGCATGTATGTTGGCAGAAAACTGCAGTGATGGAAATTTGCAGAGGCCCTTGCACTCGAAAGTTTCAGGAGGAAAAGTCGAAGGGGCGATCCAGCTGAGACTGGCTATAGCTCACCAACCCCTTTTGCACCTGTGTTTTGCCAAAGAAAGAAGGCGACTCCCAGGGTGGACTCTTTCGCCGGAAGTACCCCTTTGACGGCGAAGGATGACAAAGTTGCCCATCCACCACGACCTTGGTCTAATATAGACAAGCTGTACTGTAATGAAACTAATTGACAGGCCCACCATGGATAATTCTGTATCACTTCCCTCCAATCTCCCTAACACAATTCCCTCAGACTCTGAGTTCAATGCTGCATATGACCGGTGTGTAGCCTTGCAGGCTCGGGCCCCTATCTTGCAGTTGGACCCACCACAAAGCCCATCAATCCTCATATGTGCCCGTATCCTGGGTTATATGTTGATATATGCACCAGGTTGTCACAATATTGCAAAGGACATTAGCAAATGTGTTGATGATAATGAGCTTCTCCACCTTGCCCAACTCACCTATGACTATTTCATTTATTTGTGTGAGTACACCTGTTACCCACTGCATCATGCTTGAATTGACCTTTCAAATTTATAGTCAATGCTGCTAAAAGTCAGACCCATGAATATTCCTTCCTGGACCATACCTCTGGGCCATCATTTGACACTATCAAGGCAGCAATAGCACATATAATGGAGGAGAGTCCAATAGATCAAAGAACAGCAAAAGCACATGTGAGTAGCTCATGTCTCATTCACCCAGTCTGTCTAATTTCAGTCAGGCCCTTGCTCGGGATAATTTTCGTTGTGTTGTTACTGGTGCCATTGATTATGTAGCATATCACAATAACAAACAGCTCACAGCGGAGGCTTTAGCTCAAGAACTCCAGGTCTTCCACACAGAAGCTGTTCATATTTTTCCAGCCTTCACTAACAAAGGTGAGGATAACCTGAAGGTATGTTATTTTTGGCTTTGCAAACATACTCTGCTTAATCCATTCTGCATATAACCAAGCCTGAATATGCAGCAAATGAATGGACCATAGTAAACCATTTTGCAGGCTATGATATCAGCCAAGAACTTGATGGAATTCAGATCCATTGTCTTGAAAATATCTTGACTTTGGCCATACATGTGCAACCATTTTTTGACAGGCTTGCCTTGTGGTTTGAAGAAGTGGTATGTTGCATCATTAAAGCATGACAGAGAATTGATGACTGATTGACACCATTACCAGGACACACACTAGGACACACAACACACATATCAAGTATGTGGAAACCCTGCATCTATATGCTCATTTCCTCCTATTGTGACATTCACAACTAGTGATCCTCTTCACTTGCCTTTACCTAGTCCATACTACCTTGGTATTCATGCAGCATTTTGCAAAGTTGCTAATCTCTCTGGAGCAACAGACTGTATTGGAAATGCTTTTGAGGATATGGAAGAAATATCAACTCTGGCATCTGATGGATCATCTGCAGATACTTTGTACTGTGCTTTGATTTGTGCACTCCTAGCTAAATCAGTATTTTGAAAGTCAGGTGTTTGTCTGTAGATGCTGTTGGTGTTATACACTCAAATAGATCTGCTGCATGAGGCTCTGAGAGGGGCATTGCTCACGAATGTTTGTGACATAACCAGAAGGATCTGGTATAGTGAGTGATGCTGGTCACATATTACAGTGACCTATCTCCATATAATACGAGGGAACGGACATGCATAATATCCTGTATGATATGGGCCAGCGGACCATGGGCCCATGATAAAAATATCCTTGACTATGACAGATGGGCCGGGAGGCAAATTATTCCTAATGGAGGCGGGTGGGCCCATGCAGGGAATATATAGAGTAGATGAGTGGGCCGATGTACATGAATATTAGGTAGACGGGTGGGCCGAGGTAGTTGGATATTATGCAGATGGGTGTATTAAGGTAGATGTGTATGAGATAGATGGGTAGGTACTTGTTATCACATTCACGGGTGGGCCAAGGGTATTATAAAATATTGTATCAGATGGGTGGGCCGAGAGTGGTATAAAATATAGATGGGTGGGCCCATGTGTATCATAATTGTAGACATGATGGAGCTGAGGTAGTTGTACATCAACCAAATCAGAGGAGGTAATAAATCAAAGTTACCAAGTTCCCGGAGCAGCAGGTGATCTCCTGACATGGCCTTTGATGGTGCTCAGATTGTCTTGCCCTATGAGACGCCAAGTTCCGACCACCCAAATTTGGGTCAACCGTACTGACTTCCGAGTTCCGGGACCCGGGAGTCAACAAATGAATATCTGATAACCAGCACACTTCCAATCAGGTAGTATGTCATTGAGCAATGGATCATCCAAGGGGTCCCTTATCAGACTCGGTAGTCAATATAGGCAAATGATAATGAAAACATGAAAGTTGTTATTATGCTATTTTTCAAACCCAAGACCCGAAAATACAGTGGCTCAAAAAAGTGTCCCAATGTTTGTAGCTTTTCATGTAATTGCTATATCATGTGTCGAGACGTGGGAATATGACTAAGCTATAGGGAGATGTCGGAAAGGTCTGCATCTCAGCTTCATTTCGGTTCCCTATACCGTGGGAAACTAATGACATTATGTGAAGATATGAGTATTTTAATTTGATGACTCATTGGGACACTTTTTTGACTTTGAGTTTTACTAATGTAATCTCTATAATTCTAGTACTGTGTGTGACCTCCTTCTGCTCCAATAACTTCTGCCACTCTTCTAAACATATTCTCTATCAATTTTGGGTATTCCTCTTTGGTGATTCCATCATACTCTGCTGTAACACTGTCTCATAGTTGGAATAGCCCCTACAGTGAATCTTGATATGCTACAAGTAATTTCTTGAGTGATTCTCAGGGGTATTCAATATGGTTGATGTCTTGGGTCTATGTTGAACATGATAGAATAGTAATATTATGGTCTTTAAATTATTTGGTAGCCAATCTAGAAGGTTGCTCTATAAGACTTAAGATCTCTTAATCACTATATTCTAATTGGAAAGACTGCTGATGCTAATAAAGTGATTAAATTGATTATTTCCATCATTCCTATGACTATCTCTACTCAAATAGTCAGACAGACTCTCAAGACAGCCCATCTTAAAGCTATAATCAAGAAAAACAGATTCCTCTGTCTCCAACCTATAAAAATAAAAGACAAGATGCTACTTTCAAGTACAAATATCGGACTGCTAATAGCTGAAAGAGGTTTATCTAGTTAGATAAGGTTAAAATCAATAGGATGAAATCATATGGCAAGGAATTTATATTAAAATAGATAAGACAATCATTAAGATAAAGAAAAGTTAAATAAACACCTTAAGTTTCAAGACAAAACTTGATGGTATAGGACTATATGAGATAAAATGGAGTGGGAATCTTCTATGAAGCAAAGGGGAGGATGAATACAGAGTAGTAAATACTCATTTGACAGGAGTGTCTGCTAAGAAGCATGCAGAAGTTATGAGTTAATGAAGAAGATACTGTTTTGTGATAAGACAATGACCCTAAGTATACCTCTAAATAAGCCACCAATAGCTTGCAAACCATGATATTACTATTCTATCATGTTCAACATAGACCCAAGACATCAACCATATTGAATACCCCTGAGAATCACTCAAGAAATTACTTGTAGCATATCAAGATTCACTGTAGGGGCTATTCCAACTATGAGACAGTGTTACAGCAGAGTATGATGGAATCACCAAAGAGGAATACCCAAAATTGATAGAGAATATGTTTAGAAGAGTGGCAGAAGTTATTGGAGCAGAAGGAGGTCACACACAGTACTAGAATTATAGAGATTACATTAGTAAAACTCAAAGTCAAAAAAGTGTCCCAATGAGTCATCAAATTAAAATACTCATATCTTCACATAATGTCATTAGTTTCCCACGGTATAGGGAACCGAAATGAAGCTGAGATGCAGACCTTTCCGACATCTCCCTATAGCTTAGTCATATTCCCACGTCTCGACACATGATATAGCAATTACATGAAAAGCTACAAACATTGGGACACTTTTTTGAGCCACTGTATGTATGCAACATGTCCATTTTTCACTTGTTGCACAAATCATTGAGTTTTGAGTGCTGAAACCTGAAACTCAAAACCCGGCATGCAACATGTTGATTTTTCATTTATATTACACAGATCATCAAGTTCTGAGTGCCAAGGGCCGAAACACAAACCTTGAGACCCGAAAATATGTATGCAACATTTCCATTTTTCACTTGTTGCACAAATCACCAAGTTTCAAGTGCCAAAACCTGAAACTCAAAACCAGGTGTGCAACATGTCCATTGTTCAATTATATTACACAAATCATTGAGTTCCGAGTGCCAAGGGCTGAAACCCGAAACCTGAGACCCGAAAATATCTACACAACATGTCCATTTTTCACTCATTGCACAAATCACCGAGTTTTGAGTGCCAAAACCCAAAACTCAAAACCCGGCATGCAACATGTTGATTTTTCATTTACATTACACAAATCATCAAGTTCCGAGTGCCGAGACTCGGGACCCGAACCCCGAGACCCGAAAATATGTGCGCAACATGTCCATGTTTCACTTGCTGCACAAATCACCAAGTTTTGAGTGCCAAAACCTGAAACTCAAAACCCGGTGTGCAACATGTCCATTTTTCATTTATATTACACAAATCATCAAGTTCCAAGTGCCGAGACCCAGGACCCAAACCCCAAGACCCGAAAATATGTACACAACATGTCCATTTTTCACTCATTGCACAAATCACTGAGCTTTGAGTGCCGAAACCCAAAACTCAAAACCCGGTGTGCAACATGTTGATTTTTCATTTCATTTACATTATACAAATCATCAAGTTCTGAGTGCCGAGACCCGAAAATATGTGTGCAACATGTCCATTTTTTACTTGTTGCACAAATCACTGAGCTTTGAGTGCTGAAACCTGAAACTCAAAACACGGTGTGCAACATGTTGATTTTTCATTTACATTACACAAATCATCGAGTTCTGAGTGCCGAGACCCGAGACCCGAACCCCGAGACCCGAGACCCGAAAATATGTATGCAACATTTCCATTTTTCACTTGTTGCACAAATCACTGAGTTTTGAGTGCCAAAACATGAAACTCAAAACCCGGTGTGCAACATGTTGATTTTTCATTTACATTACACAAATCATCAAGTTCCGAGTGCCGAGACCCGAGACCCGAACCCCGAGACCCGAAAATATGTATGCAACATTTCCATTTTTCACTTGTTGCACAAATCACCGAGTTTTGAGTGCCGAAACCTGAAACTCAAAACACGGTGTGCAACATGTTGATTTTTCATTTACATTACACAAATCATCGAGTTCCGAGTGCCAAGGGCCGAACCCTGAACCCCGAGACCCGAAAATATGTGCGCAACATGTCCATTTTTCACTTGTTGCACAAATCACTGAGTTTTGAGTGCTGAAACCTGAAACTCAAAACCCGGCATGCAACATGTTGATTTTTCATTTACATTACACAAATCATCAAGTTCCGAGTGCTTTGGGTCATGTCCATTTTTCACTCATTGCACAAATCACCAAGTGTTGAGTGTCAAAACCTGAAACCCGGTACTTCAAATGGACATGAATTGTATTTGTATGTATTATCCATTGGTGTAGGGCTCAAATAACTTGGGAATTGTATTTGTCAGTACTCAGTACTCGGTGCTTGGTACTCGGTACTTGGTACTCGGTGATTGGTACTCAGTGATTGGTGATTGGTGGTCAGTGGTCGGTACTCGAGACTCAGGTAGTCAATATGGGCAAATGATAATGAAAAATGACAGTTGTAGTCCATGTCAAGGTGAGTGTCTTGGTAGTCTTTCCTTGTCATTTGGCAAAACATCAGCAATAATGAAAAAATGAAAATTGATATTATGCTTAACTTCCTTACCGAAGGTTGTAGTCCAAGTCTAGGTGAGTGTAGTGGTAGTCTTTTCTTGTCAATTGGTTATCTTGTTACTCATTATGCAGTACTCGGTACATGGTAATTGGTACTCAGTATTTGGTTGTGATACTCGGTATCCAGGAATCAGTAGTCAGCTTAATGAAGGTTGTAGTCCGAGTCTAGGTGAGTTTATTTGTAGTCTTTTCTCATCCATTGGTTACCATGTGACCAAGATATAAGCTAAAGAAATCCAAAACATCAATAATGAAAAATGAAATACATGTGTGCAGTAAGTGAGTCTAAAGATAAAGAATGAATATTAAGAGCGAGACTTGCACATTATGTCGAGATATACAACATAACAAGCCTGTGATGTGATCAGAGACCTGGAATAACACCCATATACATCCATTATAATAGCTTAAAAGCTTAGAAAGATTCATGAAGGATTGATGTAATGATAGGCAAAATGACATATGTGTGGAGAGTGACAATAGACATCTTTTATACGAAGTCACATTTATATATTCAGGCCGAAAATATCATTACAAATAACTTTCATTTTTCATTATTGCCAATGTTTCAGATTTCTTTAGCTTAT